ACATTTCCTGCACGCCTCGACGTAAGAGACGCCGCGTCATAGCTCCGAAGCTCTTGCCTCTAGACCGACAATTTTTTGGAGCTGGAAGTGAACCGCATTCCGGAGCTATGACGCGGCGCCGCTGCGGTGTGAACAGGAAAAAACGGCGCTTTTCCAGCTCCAGCTCCGAGCCGGAGCTGGAAAAGCGCCGGTGTGAAAGGGGCATTAGAAACAAAGAGCATACAACGGCAGAATATGGAATAGTGTCTGTGTGGTTAGACTGCAGCCTGATGTGTGTCTGTGTGGATAGACCGCAGCCTCCTGTCCTTTTTAGCGGATCTAGCGAAGTGAGCGGCCGTGCGTAAATGGCACTGGTTCTCTGACGCGGCACTTTTCAGAGGCTGCAGATTTATCATTAGCTACTTCCTTCTGACACTGCAGAGCTTTCATGAGCGAAAGGAACATTTCATACTAAAGCAGCTGGGCAGCAGATACTTGTTGCTTCACACTCATAAGCTTTGCTGATTTGGGCTGGAGAATGCCTGCCGCGTCAGGGTGCGTTCCGGTAGTTGCAAATGGCACCACATTTTAGCTCTACGTTTCTTAATCATTTTCTAGATATTTAGTCTCAATATGAAATGTATTTGTGCAGCAGGTATAAAATTAGAAAACTGCAGCCTGGTAAAACGAGGGAGAAAAAACTATCCTTTCATCTTTCACCTGTGTGTGCTCATTAACATGGCCATTGGCAACTATAATAGATTATAAAAACGTTGAGGATTAAATAGGACAAAGTATTTTCAATTTTACGAAAACAAATGTTAAGGCTGTGCAAAGGTTTAGTTTAACATTTATAACATTTCTGAACAAAAACATCAACAGTAAACAGCTAATGTGGAATACAATAGAAAAACATTAATATATATATATACAAGCAATATTAAATAGTATGTTTTTTAAACCAATCACTGTCAGGTTGGTTCACACACTGCTTCATGACAGCTATTTAAAAAGTAAATGCAAATAAATGAAATGTATTTCAGTAAATTCTAGTTATACCTTAAGGCATACTGTATATTCTTCAGCAGGAAATAAGAAAATGCTGATATTGTATGTATTAGACACAGGTTTATGTTTCTCATCGATCATTTTTACATAAAAGACAAACACACTAAATACAGTGCAACTTGGCACAATTGTAGCCTATGTCTTTTGAAGAAATCAGATTCAATATACACATGACATAAAATACAAAACACAACTTATTTTGCTTATTAAAACTGTTCAGTAGCACAAGGAACTCTGAACTGGGTTACATGTGCGCAACAAATGTACATTATATTTGAATAAGGGCATTTCTCTAATAGGAGGGCAAAAGGGCAGGTGCTGAAGCCCCGTTGGGGTCTATTTGTGCACGTGTGCATGCGTGTCTCAACTCTCTGCGTCTCTACAGGAGTAGACGGCGGGGTTTGCTTTTAAATATGTCAATAACTTCGTCGTAGTCCAAAGTTACTGCAAGATCTCTCTCAAAAGTTATGAGACAGAGCGATTGCAGGCGAGGGGTGAGCATAGTGCTTCTACAGGCAGTTTTTATTCTCTTAACGCTGGAGAAAACACGCTCAGCTGTACAGGATGTCATGGGCAGAGTGATCAGAGCGTTTAAGAAGCCATTTACACTAGGGAAGACTTCCTCACTGCAAATGTCCCTAAGATCCAACAGGGTTTTAAATGTTTCCCCTCTTGCCCTCTTCCTTGCAACATGCTGGAGAAACACAGAGAGCTCCGACTCTGTCATGCTGATGTTGAAGCGCTTTCCTGCGTCATTCAGTTTTTGTGTCATCTCGGTCAAGCTGCTGTCAGAGGAGGGTGCCAACAGAGTAGCTGTTGTCGTCATCAGGCCATACGCCTCATTGTGGAACCTGGCACTGAGTTCATTCCGCTGACAGTCTATAAGTTGGTTTAATATGGCTCTCAAATCATGGTCACTCCTGACCCTTGTAGACTTTCCCAGTGAGGCCGTAACAACACTTCCCTGTAGTCGACTTGGGAGCTTTCTCGAGCGGGCGGGGAGACATATTTCCAGACTTTGGATATCATTATCTTCCATGAGCTTATTTGTGCTTTCCAGAATCTTTTGAAATGCACCTCGCCTGAGCGCATGTCTGTCAGTGACTCTTTGAGACTTTCAATCAAATCCACTGTGTCTGTCCAACACAGTCTCACGGCATTTCGTGTTATAGTCACGAAATTAATCTATTGATTCGTGTTCACCAACACGATTTCGCCATTTTTTTCGTGTCACACAGAACGATTTTAAAAGCAATGTAAATAATAACAAATTAGAAGGAAAAACAGATAAAAAAAAATACAGATTTCAATATTCTGACACAGAACAATTTTAGAGGCAATGTATTTCTATTGGTAGTATGTTTCGTGCCTGCACCAAATAATAACAAATTAGAAGGAAAAAAAGATGACAAAAAATACAGATGTCAGTATTCTGAGGCTCTGAGCCCCATTTCTTTTCCTCGTGGACGGCAAAAAAAACTCCGACATTATACAATTTAAAATAAAAGGGATAGGGTTAGGCTTAGGGTAAGATATTGAGTAAGAACATGTTTTTATGAACCACACAGCTTCTGGTATTCCAAGACCCGACCGGACAAAAAGACGTGTTGCAGGCACGAAACACACTACCAATAGAAATACATTGCTTTTAAAATCGTTCTGTGTGACACGAAAAAAATGCGAAAATCGTGTTGGTGAACACGAATCAATAGATTAAATTAATTTCGTGACTATAACACGAAATGCCGTGAGACTGGGTTGGTCTGTCACAGAAACGCTGATGGATTGCAGCCCTTTAGTTGCAAAGTCGGACTTGTTAAATAGATCTCTTAAAAGCACGAGGAGAAATATAAAAAATGTTGTTCGCATCTGCTGAAGTAAAGACTGGGCATCAAACTGACTTTGTCCTCCCTCTTCTGAATAATCGGACAGCACTTCAAGGATGACATCATACAGCGTGTACACTTTGCTCACTGCTGCTGATCTTGAGCTCCATCTCGTGTCACAGCCTTGCTCCAATTCCAGTGGTCTCCTATCGGGGTGCATTTCTTTTTGGGCCTCGAGAAAGCGAGCATGCCTCTGAGTGCCACACATGAAGGTGTGCACGGAATTCACTGTCTCAAAGAAAGTTGACGCAGCAGCTGATGTGCGTTCCACACTTGCCAGGATCAGATTCAGTCTATGAGAATGACAGTGCACATAGATTGCACTTTGAAATGTCCTCTTGAGGATGGCTTGAACGTCCCCCTTATGACCAGACATAACAGCCGCGCCATCAAATCCAAACCCAACACACTTATTTGTGTCTAACAGAAAAGGTTCCACTACTTCCATTATTTTCTGGGCAATTGCCTCAGCGTTCATCTCTTCAGTATCCACAAGGCCGACTGCCCTTTCCTTCACAGATCCCATGTGGACATATTTTAAGCAGACTGCCACCAATTCCTTTTTTGATATGTCCTTGCATTCGTCAGCTATTATAGCATAATAATGTCCTCCTTCTGATCCGTGCAATTCCTTTTTTATGTGTCTTAGAAGCAGAGTGGACGCAGCATTCAGCAGGTCGTTCTGTATGTCATGGCTAAGCATCTTTGCATTACCCGGGATGGCATCTAATCGTTGCTGTATCTCTGGACTGTATTTACAAAGGAGATTTAACAGCTCAAGGAAATTACCTGTGTTTTTCCCATCTTCATTTTCCCGGTGTCCGCGCAGAGGAATCTCTTGCTTTGCACACGTGAGAATGATGTCCAGTAAAACCTTTAAGTGTTCCCGATTTTTCTCAATTATCTCTCCCTGTCGGCCCTCTGGGTTGAGTAGCTGATGGAGGATGGTTCCATGGTCAGACTTCTCGCACTGTCTGTAGTTTATGTTTCTCTCCATAGCTATTGCATGAGCTGCGCTGCATTCATGTTTACTGAGAGCATAGTCGAGGTGTTTCCAGTCCCTGTAACCATGGCGACTGAATGTATCTTCTCCGCCGGCCCCGCCTCTCTCACTAAAATGCCGGCACATTTTACAAAATACACTGTCCTGGCTAATACTATATTCCAAGAATGTGTACTTGACATACCAGTGGGCAGCGAAGCTCCTTTTCTTTTGTCCAAAAAGTGTCTGAGGGTACTTTATTAGCTTTGGTTGTGTAGCCGCCGGGTCATCTATGGCTGACAGGTCCGGCACTGGGATGCTATTTTCTGTTGACCTGCCGCCAACGGATGCTACGTCCCGCAGAGGGACTGAGCTCAGCGGAGGCACAACATTAAATACACTCTCGTCTCTCTGAGGCGGCACCTGCTGTGAGGATGATGAGTGTGGTGGTTCCGGCGGCGGCGACTCTGTTCTTACTCTTTTTAAAAACCTGAACATTGATTGTTGTGACATTGTCAGTGAGTGCGGTATATTTTTTGTGTCTGTCCAGTCCACTGTCCTCCTTCGTCTGCGCGCGGCTGCGAGATGTTCTACGATGTGTTTGTTGCCGCGCTTCGACTATGACGGCCCCTACACACGGCGGCGTTCGGTCCGTTGGTTACGTTAATTCATGTTGCTTTTAATTTTATAGGTTTTTTTTAAAAGGGAAACACATGTTTGCTCTTATTTTATTATTTAATTGTTAATTTTGATAATCAAAAATAAAAATGTTGGTAAACTATATTTTCTCACAGTCATTTTTGATTAACGAATGGGTGGGCCCAGTGACAGAGTAGGTGGGCCCAGTGACAGAGTAGGTGGGCCTAGGCCCAGTAGGCCCACCCATAATGCAGCGCCTGGCTTGAGGCTTGCCGTAGTTCGAGTCAGGGACAGGGTGAGCCCGCCCTATTCTGCCCCCGATTGGCTGACTGAGATATGTGATAACCAATCATCAGCCCTCGAGGTTAAATCTAACCAACCCAACGAAAGGCACCACGTATACAAACCAATCAGAGGCAGCTTAGGGTGGGTCATTGCGTCTCTATCCTATGAAGAACAACCTAACTCTATGAGAACAACACTTATGGAGGAGAAATCGACGTGACTGACATTTTCATCTGAAGCGGGAGGTCAAACGGTAGGTAACCACTTCATTTTTACAAACACAGTATTTTTACAAATAATTTTATTTTGATGAAGTCAACCTTGGGTATGACTACGTGAGACTTAACGTTACACAGGCTGCTGGTGAGCAGTGTGGCAGGTTGCTGCGGTGGGTTTAACAACAAACAACCGTGACTAATAGCAGTGTTAGTTAAATCATCACGTATTTGCGTGTGTGAGCTAATGGATACGTACTATGAGCTAAGGGAATTTACAGTACTGTACCTGTGCTGTTTGCATTTCTGTCTAATAAAATATTCAATCAATCAAACATGTAGCTATCTTTTGAGACTGGATCATTCATTTCTTAACTGTATACTTCGATTTCTGTCTGATGTTTGTCTGTTAGTTTGAAAGTGTCTTTGAAAAACAGCTCTGAGCCTGTTTTTCAGGTCTCAGGCTCGAAAATGACATTCCCAGAACAAATGACCATATCTTCCCTTCTAAAAGGGTTAAATTAATAATCTTTTTTCTCAAAGTAATGATAAACCTGTGAGTTGGATGTAGAAAAGTCAGAATCAATATAGATGTTTTTTATTTTAAAGAACATTCAGATTGAACATAGTAAAAAAACTGTAAATTATAGTGTCCGTCCAAAGATTCTTTTTTACTTATAGTGAAAACCACCCTTGGATGATGGGTTAGTAGACTAAAAGCTTTAGGAATCCAAAGTACAACATATAAGTACCCTGTATCAAGATTGATGCAAAACAAGTGACATTTGACCTTTTGAGAGAGATTTAGCAAAAAGAAACCACTTCTGGGGTAATTTGGGGGGATTTTCCATATCTCTGGGCCCCCTTGCTCGATTTTGATGGTTGACACCTCTTTCTGACCGTTAGAGCCAATAGAATCGAAGGGGGAGTCCCCCACACACACACGTTGTGAAGAGAAAAGGTGGGGGCTTCGCACATGTCATTTTGCATCAGAGTGGACCTATCTCTAGCTTTGACATCTGGAAACGGAAAAGCAGTTTTAATGCTTATGGATTATCAGAAATCATTTCAAAGGGACACAGACACATTAGATTAACCTATGGATTAACTTCAGCAGCGTTTTTATCGTTTTAATGCCATTGAAGACCACTTTGGAGAGACTACAGAGCCAAGGTAAAAATGTTAGCATTTTTAGCTACCTAGCGTCACCTGTTTTGATGTCCGTTTTTGCTTATAACGTCGCAAATACGTATAATACAGTGGTAATGTCGGTGTCAATAGATTCTCTGTCACCTCACGATGTGAATCGATGTGGTGAAAAGATAAATAAGAAGGTTTTGTGAGTGATTTTCGGTGCAGTAAGGTGTTAGCATTTTTCGCTCGTTGCTAATTCAGAGGCTCAGTGTTAGCATTGTGGGTTTTCTTTGAAAAAAAAAAAAAAATGATCAGTTAGATGAGTTTCTTCCCGTTACATGGATATAAAACATTCATAGTTTTATTAAATGAACATGCCCTCAGACACTGTTTCCTGCAAGATGTTGCGGCAGTACCCCGGTCTCTCGGGCTTAACAGGTTAATAGATTGTAAAGTTTAAAGGAAACCTATCATGCTATATTTAAATGATATATTGTAGGGCCATACCTATATAAGGTATATTTATACGTTTCTGTTTTCAAAATACCAAACAGATCATGCATTTTAGCCATGCCTCATTTGGCTCTATGTGCTGTTTGCTGTCTACGGGTCTGATTCTGCTGACCACGCCCCCCTGCAGGAGAGGGGAGACGTGCTCTGATCAGCTGCTGGGCTGTCAGAAGAGGGGGAGAAAAAGAGATCTCCGTGTTTTATTATATAGAGTCGTTATTCATTTGTTTTAAAGCTCAATAAATAACAAAGAAGACCTTTGACCGGCACTTTTCTAATTTTGTCCGGAAGATTTAAACTTTAACGGACATCTTGACCGGCGAAACAAACTGAAACTGAAACTCTGCCGCACGGTCCCCTCGTTCCTTGGAAGAGGCGGAGAGGTGGGTGTTTGTCATCTGCTGGTGGACTAACCGGAGAGAATTACAGTGCTTGCCTCGACGGGGAGGGATTGCATTGCAGCGGGAGCAAACGCTTGCCTCGGGGAGAGAGAAAGAAAGCCACAGCGGAGAATAAACAGAAGGGTAACCATGGTAACCAAGTCTTCTTCACTGCTTTTGTGGCAGACTACAGCGCCACTTACAGGCCTGGCATATGTACTACAGCGTCTCCAGCGCTTTCGAACGGCAATGGCCGTGGCTGTCTCCTCCTGATTGGTGGAGTTGGCCCAATAGCCGTAGCGCCACCGTCCTGACGTCAGGACAGTGTTCAAATCTGGATCAGTTTTTATTAGATCCGTTGCAGCCCCTTTTTTAGAGATTTGGGTATGGAGGAAAATAGAGAGGGTTGTGTTTTCTGACACTTGGTGAGTTCCCTGGAACACCGGGGACACATATTCATGTATAAAAGACGTACAAAAGTGCATTTTGCATGATAGGTCCCCTTTAATGACCACATCTGAAAAACAACCTGTTTCAGCTACATTACTTTACCAGATCAGTGCACAATGTGTTCTTTTTAGGTTTCCTGAACTTCTCCCATACAATGGACCTGACGAGCGTGACAAACTGAGTGAGGAGTTTCTGGACTACCAGTCCATGGACATTGCCATGCCCGAAGACCCAGCCACGTTCGACATTGAGAGCTTTTGGGGAAACATGGCATCAATGAAGAATAAGGTAAGAATTATTCTGCACCCTTTGAAATACCCATTGACGTAATCAACTTAATTCTATACAAAAATACTTGAGAGTAATTAGGCTTCCTATGTACATTTTTCAAAGGTGACCGGTATGAGCAGATTTGGCAGGCTCTCTCGTATTGCCAAGTTGGTGTTGGTACTTCCACATTCAAATGCTGATGCTGAACGAGTGTTCTCTGGTGGGACTGAACAAAACCAAAACCCGAAACAGTTTGGCTCTTGATGGAACTCTATCATCCATCATGACTGTGAAGATGGCAAACCTTGAGCCACAGTGTTTCAAATGGGAGCCCCCTCCCTCTGTCATCAAGGCATCAAAATCTGCCACAAACACCTACAACATGAGACATGTCATGTAAACCAAAACACACAAACAAAGACATGCACTTTATTTTTTTATAATATATATTATATATATATATTATTCTGGTTCTAATTTTGTTACACTTAAAAAAAAAATGCACTAAAGGAATTGGTTCTTAAAAGGCTGCTATGTTTTCTTTATATTGACATTTTATAAATAAATTTATTTTATTTGTCAAACTTTTTCTTGTTACAATTGTTTTCATTTCTACTTGTGCTGGTCAATTATTAACACTATATAAGCATGAGGAGGCCGACAGTGCAGGGAGAGCAGCTGGCATGGGGGTGAAGACATCACAACAGTCTTAATGTTAATTTAAATTGAGATATTCCTCTAAATCGAAGTTAAAAAAGGCCACATTTTTTCCCCGAAAGACTCACTCCTACTTTTTACTGAAACTTGGCAGCCCTGGATGCAAAACTGCATGCGCGAAGCCCCCACATTTTTTGTTTTACCGTGTGTGTGGGGAGATTCCCCTTCGATTCTATTGGCTCTAACGGTCAGAAAGAGATGTCAATCACCAAAATCGACCAATGGGTTCCAGACAAACGGTAAAACCCCCATTTCCACCCAAATCACCTCAGAGGTGGAGTTTCTTTTGCTAAACCTCTCTAAAAAGGTCAAATGTCACTTGTTTTGCATCAATCTTGATACAGGGTAATTATTATATGTTGTACTTTGGATTCTTAAAGCTTTTAGTCTACCTTACCATCATCCAGGGGTAGTTTTCACTATAAGTAAAAATAATTTTTGGACGGACACTATAATTTACAGTTTTTTACTATGTAAAATCTGAATGTTCTTTAAAATAAAAAACATCTATATTGATTCTGACTTTTCAACATCCAACTCACAGGTTTATCATTACTTTGAGAAAAAAGATTATTAATTTAACCCTTTTAGAAGGGAAGATATGGTCATTTGTTCTGGGAATGTCATTTTCCAGCCTGAGACCTGAAAAACAGGCTCAGAGCTTAACAGGTTAAACAAGTGACATTTGACCTTTTTAGAGAGGTTTAGCCAAAACCACTCCACCTCTGAGGTGATTTGGGTGAACATGTTTTTTTTTTCATATCTCTGGCCCCCCTTGGTCGATTTTGATGGTTGACACCTCTTTCTGATCGTTAGAGCCAATAGAATCGAAGGGGGATGCCCCCACACACACTCGTTGTGAAAACAAACGGTGGGGGCTTCGTGCATGCAGGTTTGCACCAGAGTGAAGCGATCTCTCGCTCTGACATCTGGAAACGAAAAAGCAGTTTTATTGCTTATGGATTATCAGAAATCATTTCAAAGAGGACACAGACACATTGGATTAACCTATGGATTAACTGCAGCATCGTATTTTATCGTTTTAATACCATTGAAGACCAGTTTTGACCAAGGTAAGCCATTTTAGTGTTTGTAGCTACCTAGCGCCACATGTTTTGATGTACGTTTTCGTTTATAGCGTCGCAAATGTTTATCACTGAGTGTTGAGGTGGGCACCCCCAGATTCTGTGTCTCCAGGAGATGCTAATCGATGGGTTGGTTGTGCATCTAGGATAAGTAATAAGGGAGTTATGAGTGAGTTTAGGTGCAGTGATAGGTTACATTTTTTCGCTCGTGGCTAATTCAGAGGCTGAGTGTTAGCATTGTGGGGTTTTTTTGGAGAAAAAAAATTAAAAAGATCAGTTAGCTGAGTTTCTTCCCGTTACATGGATATAAAACATTCATAGTTTATTAAATATTAAGATTCCTTAGACGTTGTTTCCTGCAAATGACGCGTTTATCTGCCCGGTACCGGGGGGGCGGTGCGTAACCGTTAACAGGTTAATGGGGTTTAGTAAGACAAATCAAAAGTATGCGAAAATGGCCCAATTAGCCCAGGACTCCGAAGGGTTAAACAATGTACTTAAAAGGTTATTAAGCATCGAAACAGTTGGGATTTGGCTCAGAAGAATAGGATCTGATTCATACAATAATTTGTGTAGGTACACTCAATGTTGGTTTGGGTCCTATTCATTGGATTTGTTGACAATAGGACACATATGGAATATCTCAGGCCTTATTTTTAAGATTATCATTAGAAATGTGACTCTTTTTGCGTCAGCCGGATAGTCTTAAATGAAGTGTGAGAGGAAATAAAGAGTTAGGGCCTCAGCTGTCATCTCTTTGTGTGGGCTGGGTCTACACCGGAGCCGCGTTATCTCAGATTTGTAGAGATACTGTATTCGCTGGCAGGATAATCAGCAGTTGTTAGCATTTTGTCATGTCATCCCGACATAAATTCCACTGAGACAGCCTCATTGTGAAACAGTGTGAAAATGGAGACAGATCTAGTCCCTATAGATCATAATCATCACATCTGTGTTGCCGCTGTCCTGTCGCTGGTGTTCCTCTGCAGTAACACGAGAGCCACTCAGCTAACGGGGGGGGGGGGGGTTGAGTTACCCTGAAAAGGATGAGGCTGACTGTTAACTCCTGAATACAGAAGCTGTTCAGACTCAGAGACAGCGAGGCACTCTGTCGCACCGTAATCTGAGGCTAAATGCTAATCTAAAGATCCCCCTCTTAAGCACAAGCATTAGTGTGAGTATTGACATTTTACAGAGAATTTGCTGCACTGCTGGAAGATGTAATATAGTGGGAATGCTGATACAGCATTCCAACTATATGTTATGCTACGGACAAAATTCTTATTATTATTCCATCCAATTATTTTGGCCCTCTTCTCCTCCCACATTCAACATCGCAGAAACTCCGTTCAAACATGAAAACGTTCAGCTCGGTCGGGAATCGATGGCTATTACTTTTATCATTCATAACTTTCATAATTCCAGAGATACATCCCATAATACATCACATTTTTAACCATTGAAGTCAATGGAGATATTCTTCAGACTTCAACAAATCTTCATGCGACTTCAACTGCTAACTGTTCATTCATACTTTCACTCAGAAACCTCATTCCAACTTTTGTTACACATCTTTCTGACATTATTCGTGTAACACAACTTTTAAATCTGATTCTTACTTTTAGATATATTAAACATTGTTCAGACCTTGGTAAAGAGGCTTTCTTCAGATTTTAACATTAACTAGAGTGCGTGATGTCACAGCTAGAGTGGAGGAAATCTTGAAATTTGCCTTCATATTTTTTTTTAAAACTGCCATAATTCCCAAACCCTACATTCCTTCGACATCATTAAATAAAAACAGCTGGAGCAGCACAAACTGGGGTGAGGTTAGACTCCCAGACACCTCCCTGACTCTGGTCAGCTCCACACCAGCAGGCCCGGCGGCAGACATCAATCTGTGGGCGGGAATTTGATTTACCAAGGCGGGCCCAATGTTAAAATAATATGTTTCTCTCCCTATCTGTAGGTAACATGTGCCCCTGGAATTCCACTTAACAGAAAACAATATAGTTGCCGACAGATTTTGTTTATTTATACACTGTAAAAAAAGATCCGTCGTTTTTACGGAATAAAACTGGCAGCTGTGGTTGCCAGAATAATTATGTAAAAAATACAGTAAACTGTAAACAACTTTACAGAACAACCTGTACATTTCACAGTTTAAAACTGTTGTAATTTACATTTTAAATCTGTAATTTCAACTGCCCTTTTCTGCTGAATTAGCATGATCACGTTGCTATTAAACTGATTATTTCAGTAAGATTTACATGCAGTTGTTGTTTATTGTACATTGAATCCCATTCAATTTCACAGAAAAATACCAAACAAATAAATTGAAAATGCAAAGCTAGATATACCTCAAGAGCCACTGTATTAAAAGTTGAAAAAATTCCAACAATAACTTGCCTTTCCAAGAATGTATTACTACTCATGCAGTGATCAAAAACACTAGTCATTTCTCAACATACATATTCGTAATATGTGCTTTACAAACATTAGAATAGACAACATGTGACAGATATTTGATCATTGAAATGGAATTGAAAGAGAAAAGATTTAGAGAAAGAGAGGGAAGGAAACCAAGACGAGAGAAAGAAAGAAAAATAGAGAGAGGGGAACAGAGAGGGAAAATGTTTTTTCTCCTAAAAATGTCTTACAGACAATTAAGAGGTTATTTTGTATGTCTGCATTTCCTTATTAGAATAGAACACATGTACCAATATATTCAAACATGCTCTTAAAATTGAGGTACAGGCATGCAAATGAGTAATATGTAATAAAACTCAAAAAATTGCATACAAACTAATTCTGCACAATATCAATTTATCGTCCTCGCAATATTATGTGCAAGATAAACACATCGCAAAAAGACTGCGGCATTTTTTAAATTAGTTCAAAGAGAACATCAGTAAAAAAACGGCACTTCAAATTCTAACTACGATTTAGCAATAATGGCTCCCAAACATCATGCACAGGGCAGAAACGAAGGAGAGGATGTTGTCATGTACATTGTTTCGATCCACACTCAGCCTGAACCGCCTTGAAGAATAGCAGGATCGTCCTAAAAAAGAAGAAAAACACAATTTAAATTAAAACAAGACTTGTCTTCCTGAAACATTTCACAAAACAATTTTAGCACACATGTTATTACATTTTAAGGTCTGTTGAATTGTTCACCATCAATACAAAAATGTATGTACGTGTATTTGCAGGTTAAGGGGAGATAAATGTAATGTCACTTTGACTATGAAGGGGGGGTTGTAGGAGCTACAGTTTGGAGAAACAGAGAGGAGAACCAGCAGAAAGCTAAGCAATGCACTGCTGTGGACATAGTTAAGCCACCAAAAAAACAAAAACAATATAACTCTTAGTGTATGCTATATTAAAGAATATTTTCAAAGCTCGACCTTGCTGTCAGACAGCTATACAGTCCGTTTCTGATGGGGACTGAAGCCAAATAGTATTTTATCATTTTCGCTAAGCATACCTGGCATTGTTAGAATGGTTTCAACACAGCCAATATCGTGTTTATTTTGACAACACACTGTGTTTCAGCGGGATGACTTGGTGCCCGTTAAAAATCTACCAAGTCGTTAA